GCAGAGAGCTGGCCTGGAAGAGGGGCAACCGGGACAGAATCCGGCGCCCCGACTGGGACTAGAACCTGGTGTGCTGGCGCCGTAAGGCGGAGGATTAGCCTACTGAGCCACGGTGCCAGCCAAGAATGAATCTTGAATCTGCTTTGCTCTCCCAGTGTACCCCAATGGCTGGGATAGGCCAGGCCATAGTCAGAAGTGTGGAACTCAGTTTGAATCTCCCACATGGATGGCAGGGACCTGAAATACTTGAGCTTGGGTGTCACCTGTTGCCCCTCAGTGCGTGCACTAACAGGAAGCTGGAAGAGGGTAGGGCTAAGATGCAAACTCAGCCCCACTGATATGGGACACAGATGTCCCAAGCGCCCTCTTAATGCCTGCCCCTCTTGGGCATTTTTAACACTTTGCTCTCTCTCCCTATTTCCATATTGATTTCTATTAATTCATACTTTGTAGGTGTTTTACATGTTAAAATATTTTGAATTGTAATTGTCAACCATCATATACCCTAATCCTCCTCATTTTATGTTATGTGCAACCTTTATCTGCGTACTTTAAATACTTTAATACACTGACAAAATGACTGAACATACAGGGGTCAAAGATAGAGACCTGGCCCTAGCATCATCCCTCGACTGACAATGATCTGTTGAGTAACTGAGGTTCAACCCCTCCTGCAAGCATGGATGAGATGACACAGGGACTTGTCCACATTTCTGCACCTTGTCCACAAGGATGTGATGAGCATACCTGCCTTAATGCCTTGCTTACATTCAGATACAACAGTCTAATTTCCCTATCCTATTAGGAAAGAAATTAAAAATAGAACAAGTCATAATTTTAGAAATATCTATGTTGTATTTACTTGAACTTTCTCCCCTACAGATTCACAAAACTGTGAATGTATGTCCTACAATTAAAGGAACAGATGTTATATTTACTGATCTAGACTGGTGGAATCAATCTGCTTTTATCTTCTGAAAATAAGAACACTTAGACAAATCTCTAGGCTTTTCATTCGCTTGTGCAGTATGTTCTCTCCATGTCACTCTGATGAAGGGGGAGAAAGGAAAGAAAAAACCCTCATGGTTTCTGAATACATTATATGAAATATGTATGTTTACTTTTTAAATAATTTGTCACTGGAGTCTTATTGTTTTCATAATCTTTTGTGAAAATAGGCTTCTTTAAGGTCTAAAATATTATTTAACATATTACATATCATAAATTTAAAGACCAGCTGATTACTTTTCCCACAAGGTCATCTCTTCTTTTCTTTCAATAAATTCTGTTTGTGTATTATTTTTTCATATTGCTCATTAACATAATTTAATATTTTATTTCTCAAACTCGCGTCAATGGACTTGCCAAAGAAGGTTCACAGTATGGTGTATTACCTCCATCTAGAGGTCATTCTATGTTTTGACAAGAATCTTGTATTTACTTTGTATTGATACTGAATATAGTCTCAAAAACTGACTACCAGACTGCTTCAACAGCTGCTAAAACAAATGCACTCATCTCCCGGCAGCATTTTTGGTTCAGCACCAGTGCTATTTGTACTGCGAGAAAGCAGAGGCCACATATTACAGCGTATGAGACTCTAAGATCTAAGTTCCAGTTTCTGTTTTTCCACTTACTGTGTGGCTCTGGTTACTAATCAACGTACTAACACACACTCACACATACACTCTTCCTTGCTTCCCCTGTCTACCAGTTGGACAGAGGCTGCTCTGTGAATCAGATGCTATAAGACATGTGGATATGATTTGCAAACAGTAGAGCACAAAAAATATGTAAGACATTATTCATAATTAAGGTCATGCCTATTTGGACAACAAATCGCAAATTCATTGGTGACTTTATTCTCTTGATTCCAAAAGTATTTTAGGCCAATATGACAAAAACAACAGAATTACGTAGAAAGTGTTTGCAGCCTTGAAGTTACAAAGCAATTTCATTTTGGGAAAGATAAGGGTGAAGCTAAGTCTTTAAATACCTTTAAATGCTATTTGTCTTTCAATCATTACCCAAATACTGACCCTTTAAGAAAACTGTCCTTGAAGATTCCAACTTTTGTTTCAAACTGAAGGCTTATGCACCATTGTGTGGCTCTGTAAATCATGTCTGTAAATTTACACTGCAGGGCCAGATGGTAAACACTTTAGGCTTTGGGGCCAGACGGTCTCTTTTGCAATTACTCAAGTCTATTGCTGTACAGAAATGCATGGGTGTATCTGTGCTCCAATAAAACTTTATTTACAAAAACAGGCAGTAGTATTTGGTCTATATGCCACAGTTTGTCTTTCACATTGCATGAATGAGAAAATGTTTAACACCTAAATATACTGAAAAATATCCTAGTTCAAAAAGAGCTGTACTTGATTTTTGATTATAATTAATTATGGAATAATTTTACCTAAATTGTTTCTCAGCTAAAGTTTAATTTTTTAAACTTTCTTAAACTCTACTATTTAATGAGTAAAAACATTTTTGTATTTAGCACAGTAGATATAATAGTCTAAAAGAAGATTAAATTGACTTCCAAATTTATTAAATGCTATCAACTGATTAGATTTTAACTCTAAATCAAAAACTGATAATGAATAAGAAATCATGTGAAACACAATTGGGTCATTACTCTGTGTGGGTGCTGACAAGATTTAATCCTGGAATTAAATCTCGTGGCTATAAATAAGGCAATTAGTTCACAACAAAAAGTGAAAAAAGATGAACAAAGCACAAGTAGCCCAATTAGCAGAAGGCAGACTGGGCAGCGTACTCAGAGGGAGTTCAGCGGCTCTGTCCTCGCCAGATGGACAGCAAGGCAGGCCGATGCCCTCACAGAAGACGCAACATGTTCCTTTATGAAAGTTTGGAAACTCACACTGAGGAAGGTCTGCAAGTTGAGGATTAGCCTCAGATGTACATCTGAAATAGGATTGTTTACGGACACAGATGCATGTAGGGGAGAGGGAAGGGAATAGCAGAGAAAGAGCAACTGGTGAAGAGCAAGAGTGGGGGAGGATAAAGAGGAGGAGGAGGAGCATTAAGAACTCAGAGTTCACAGTAGGACTTGGGTGTTCTTTCTACATCCAGTCTGGCTGACCAAGCTCCCAACCATCTCCATGATCCATGAAGATGAAGAGACAAGAGCACAGCTTGATCAGTACAAATTCATGACAGCTACAGGTGGAGAGCCAGAAGTACCTTAAGGCATATATATGTTGATTTATTAGTATTATGCAAATTAGATGATCTAGATAACCTGGCTATAGAAATAATAGCCAAGGCCCTTATATATGAAGGAAGTGATTTTAAACACTCGCACCAGGATGTTAACTACAAATTTATCTTGTTCCTAGGGTTTTGGCAGAAGCACAAGGTGCAGAGAGGAATATTTTATGCACAGAGTATTCCAGCTCCTAAGTACGATGCTCTACTGCACATGCATGACACGCTAAGGAAAGGATTCCCAGGTTCTGCCAGCCCTAGCCCTTCACCCATTTCCAGGCTCCATAAGAGAAGGCAAAGCATTCACTGGAGGAAGAGACTGGGGCTTCTGTAGGGTTATGATGAAAGAGGGTGAGGGCTAGCTTTGCATCCCATCTGATGTGACAGCAGCCTCAAAAACCTATCACGTCTTAGCCATGGATCACTTAGGAGTTCATGGGGCATATAAAATGTTAACCCGGCTACCGTTAAGTGAGAGTTTGTGAGTAGAGCTCCCCCTGCTGATGGCAGAGCAGAGAAACAGGTATGCTTTGTGAAAAGGGTACGTACTTGAGAGTTTGGTGGGAAAAAAGGAGTTTCCTGTGGGACAATTGTGGGTTTGTGGAAAGGGAATTGTTCTGAGAAAGATTTTGCCTAATGGTGTCCCTTGGGGAACAAAATAACTCCAAAGAGGTTGGATTTATACAAACCTAGGGCTGAGGAAAGGGTTATACATTAACTTATTACTGTATCCTCTTAGTATCTAAAATATCTGCATTGCAGGACAGAAAAAAAGGTAATGAATTAAAAATTATTGCAAAAATGAAACTATAAGTAAGAGGAAGAATAATAGTTAAAACAACATATTTCTGCTTGTATTTTATAATTCCGAACATAAAAAGGATCTAAAACCAAGACGCAACTGAGAATGATTTTTTGTTGCTCCAAAGATATTCACCTATACATATTCACCTAATTCGATTCCATTTCTTTCAGCTTTCTTACATTATAAATGAATTTTTCTTGATCTTGGGAATTTTGATACCATGATTAATCAGGTTATAAGGAATCCTTGATGAGCTCTTATGTGCACTCTTTCTACATTTTATTTAGACACATGGCATCATTTTGGTAGGTGTTTTCAAGTTAGATTATATATATATATATATTTTCTTTGACAGGCAGAGTGGACAGTGAGAGAGAGAGAGACACAGAGAGAAAGGTCTTCCTTTTGCCTTTGGTTCACCCTCCAATGGCCGCCGTGGCCAACACACTGCGGCCGGCGCATCGCGCTGATCCGAAGGCAGTAGCCAGGTGCTTCTCCTGGTCTCCCATGTGGGTGCAGGGCCCAAGCACTTGGGCCATCCTCCACTGCACTCCCGGGCCATAGCAGAGAGCTGGCCTGGAAGAGGGGCAACCGAGACAGAATCTGGCTCCCCGACCGGGACTAGAACCTGGTGTGCCAGCGCCGCAAGGCGGAGGATTAGCCTACTGAGCCGCGGCACTAGCCAAGTTAGATAATATATTTAACCAGATTTGATTACCATTTATCATCTTCAAAGGCATTACATTTGTTATATTCATTTATTAAATCTTCAATTTACCTTAAATATATTTAAAATATGCACAATGAAAATAAACACTACACAAACAGTACTGAACTATCCACTAAATACATTCTTTTCAGTGAATGTGACTGATAAATGGGTCAACTGCATTGTAAAAAATCCACTGTAATTAATAAAGGAGTATCTTAGAATTGAAAGGCTACATATATTCTATGCACTCACCACAGATGACAATGTCCATTCATAGGTGCTCTGGAAACAGCTCTTTCACCTAAAGTTTTTCCTGCAAGATAAATGGCCTTGTATTTAGTACCTTCATGGGAGGTGGCAGAGGTGAATTACTGAATTCATTGATTCCTAAAGTATGGTCCCAAGACTCTGCAGAAGCAACAGCATCATCTGTAAACTTCTTAGAAAGGCAAATTTTCAGCCACACACGTTGAGGTTACAGCCCAGCAGCCTGTGTTTGAATGGGCTTTCTGCTATATGCTTAAGTTTGTAACTCACTGGGAATAACTAATTTAACCAAGTGATAGAAATGTCATTCAATTGATACTTAAAGGTACAACAGAATTTTTTTTTTGTAATCAAATTAAACAACATTTACTAACTGCCATAATTGTATGAACATCTGGGAATAAAATGTCAGACAAGACAAAGTCCCTGATATTCAGTGGTTCACAGTTTTGTACACAGCAAGTATAGAAACAAATTTCATACAAAATATAAGCGGTAAAAAGAGAGCATAGCAGAGTGAGTAGCTGTCGAAAAGGCAAGGATGGCTTCCCTGAGAAGTTCTTGCCTACTCATTCACAACAAGAAACAGGCTCATTGACAGAAATAATTCATCTGAATTATTTTACTTAACTTTTACTCATGTAATAATGACTTTGAATTGGGGTAGGTCTGATGGTTTGAGAAATCAAGTGCCTGCAACAAAACAGAACTGCATTTTGTGCGTCTTTCTCAAAAGGGGCCATTACGTTAGGACATTCTTTTTTGCTGCTCCATTGTTAATACTTTCTGCTTACTCTAAGAGATTATTCAATGATATGCAAAATGAATTTCCAAGTAAGTGGTTGAAGTAATCTTTACAAATAAAGGACTTCTATACTGAAACCATTCTATTTATTAATTTATTAAGTTGGCATTCTACTCATACAGCTCGGTTAGATGGAATACCTATGTAAATTGGAAAAAAAAGTAGTTTGATCATAACTGAAACTACATTGTGGGCAATTATTAAAGGAATCAGTAATTTTTAAATGAATAAGACATACTCTTTTTATAAAATATTGATGAAAGAAGCCAGCAAGGGCACACAAAAAATAGAAAGCTATTCCTTGTTCATGGATTGGAAAAATCAATATCATTAAAATATCTATACTACTTAAAGCAATCTACATACTTAATGCAATCCCTACCAAAATATCAATGACATTATTTACAGAATTAGAAAAAAATCCTAAAATTCATATGGAATTACCAAAGACCCAGAATAATCAAAGTAACCCTGAGCAAAGCAAGCCAGCTGGCGGCATCATAATACCTGATTTCAAAGCACACAAAGCTATAATTTTTTTTTTGACAGGCAGAGTTAGACATTGAGAGAGAGAGACAGAGAGAAAGGTCTTCCTTCCATTGGTTCACTCCCCAAATGGCCGCTACAGCCGGCGTGCTGCGGCCGGTGCACTGCACTTATCTGAAGCCAGGAGCCAGGTGCTTCCTCCTGGTCTCCCATGCAGGTGCAGGGCCCAAGCACCTGGGCCATCCTCCACTGCCTTCCCAGGCCACAGCAGAGAGCTGGCCTGGAAGAGGGGCAACCGGGACAGAATCCGGCGCCCCAACTGGGACTAGAACCCAGGGTGCAGGCGCTGCAGGCAGAGGATTAGCCTAGTGAGCTGTGGCAGCGGCCAAAGCTATAATTTTTAAAACAGCATGCTACTGGCATAAAAACTGACACATAGATCAATGGAACGGAGTAGAGAGCCCAAAAATTAATCCACATACATACAGCCAATTGATTTTTGACAAAAGTGCTCAGATCATACATTAGAGTGATATAATCTCTTCAACAAATGGTGCTGGCAAAACTGATTTGCAGAATAATGAAATGGGATCCATATCTCTCATCATTTACAAAAATCAACTCAAGATAGATCAAAGACATAAATTTAAAACCTGAAACTATGAAGTTGCTGGAAGAAAACGTACAGGAATACTCTAGGACATTGGTGTAGGTGACAATTTCTTGGATAACACCCTAAAGAAAGCACAGGTAACAAAAGCAGAACTACACACATGGGACACATCAGACTCAGAAGCTTTTGCACAGCAAAGGAAATGACCAATAGAGTGAAGAGACATCCAACAGAATGGGGAGACCTATCTGCGAGCCACCAATCCACAAAGGATTCACATTCAGAATATGTCAGCAACTCAAAAAACTCAACAACACAGGTAAGAAAAAGCAACTAATCCAGTTAAGAAATGAGCAAAGGACTTCAATAAACAGCTTTCAAAAGAACTATAAATTACCAACAAATATATGAAAAAATGCTCAACATTACTTGTCAGAGAAAGGCAAATCAAAACAACAATAAGATATCAACTTGTCCCTGTCAGAAAGGCTGAAATCCAAAAGACAGAGAATAACAAATGCTGTTGAGGAACACTTATATACTGTTGCTGGGAATGTAAATGAGTGTAGCCTCTGGGGAAAACAATATGAAGATTTTGTGAAAAACTAAAAATAGCCTTGCCATCTGGTCCAGCAATCCCATTTCTGGATATATTTCTTTGATACCAATAGTACTTTTATAGCAGTACTGTTCACAATAGCTAAAATATAGGATGAATCATGGTGTCTATCAGATGAATGAATAAAGAAAATTTGGTATATATACATAATGGAATATTATTCAGCTATAAAAAGAATGAAATTCTACCATTTGCAGCTAAATGAATACAACTGGAGGACATCATGTTGAGTGAAATAAGCCAGACACAGAAAGACAGAAATTGCATGTTTTCCCTTACATGTGGGAGTTAAAAATTTATAAAAGAAAAAAGCCCAAATAACAAAAACAAAAAAATAAATGCCTATGTGTTTCAGTATTGCTTTAAATATAGTTTTGTCAAATTTTTTAATACTTTTGTCAAAATAATGGTTAAGAATATTATACTACCATAGTTTTAATGATCTGTGATTACTTGAAAAATATTTATATGGGTAAAATGGTTACTTTTTCATTTGATTATTGTTTATAGCCCTTGCCTATAATTCTGCTAAATTAGGGTATTTTGAATTGAAAAAATACTCTTCAATGCAAAAACACTGACTTTAAATCAACATTTTAGCTATACTGCCAAGTGAATAAAACATTCAGCATGCTCCCACGTGCCCTCACTCTGGGATATGAAAGGAAGCTGGGCGGTACACAGACTGGTTTTGTAGTCACACCCAGCAGCTGAAGCCCAAAAGAAAAACTCTTTACCTCACAGAATTCTCTTGTGGCACTGTTACCGGAGAATGCAAGGGTTCTTGTCTTCGTGCAAGAAAGAATTCAGGCGTGAGACAGAGAGTAGTGGAAAGCAAAAAGCAAGGTTTATTAGGGCAGGGACATCCGTAAGAATGGATGGGCACTTCTCTGGACAGAACCTGAGAGAGAGAGCCCAGTCACTCAGACTGGGGGAGAGCAAGGTTACATGGTTGAGTGGAGAGATTACACCTGGGCAGGTCAGGCGGGCGACTCAGCATAGAGGCAGAGGGCTGAGTGCACAGTCTGATTGAGGCTGGGGGTTTTTAAGGGGATCGGTCTTGCCTCCCCACCTCTGCTCCTCCTGGAACAAAGGACTTTTTGGATGTAAATATGAAAAATTCCCATCTGAGTTTTTCCCCTGAAGTTATCAGACAGGGGAAAGCCTGGCTGGGTCACCCCAGGTTAGAGGAGCCTTAGAGGAAGGATGGTTATCCAGTAGAAGGGGCAGGGCGTTTGAAGTGCAGATACTGGGCTGCACCTGGAAGGTTATCAGGCAGAAGGGGTGGGACCCCCACCTGGCAGGTTATCGGGTAGAAGGGACAGGGCAGGATGCTTCAAGTGCAGATACTGGGCTGCACCTGGAAGGTTATCAGGATGAATTTGAGATGCATATGCTGGACCTCTTAGATGTCAATTCTTTAGGCCTTTGTCACACACAAACAAGCTCGTATCTGACTTACTACCTAACAGCATTATGAAAATTATAATAATGTTCCTTTAAACACAAAATTTATACTTAGAATATATTATAGTCAATCATAATACTTCAAAAACTATTGGGTAATGGTAAGAATTTTCTGAAAGAAGTCTTCACTCTCCAGTGATAAAATTTTTTCCTTAGCATAACAATTTCATTAGTAAGACAAACCTTCAGCACCTCTTCCTCCTTTATACTGAATTCCAATGGCCTTCAGTTGCTGGTCTGAACCTCTGCTCTCAGCTCCAGGGTACATGGTCATTACCCTAAGTAATGACTTAATCCTAATGCACTGAATTATGACTGTCTATTGATCTTTTCTACAGAGTAAATTTCTTATTGTGGCACTGTCTTAATATTTATATTCTTCCTTCTCTCCTTTCACCCCTCATTTTAACATTATTAGACACAGTGGTTTGAATAAATGGTTAAATAATGGAATTCATTTTAACTTATTAATGTGTAAATGAACATTTCTAAGGATGTACTCTTTTTTCTTGAGCATTATAAACTTTAATCTCTTTTTTGATACACCTTATTTCAGTCCTACACTCCATTCTTGCCCCCAAATTCCCTTAGCCCATTTTTTCCATTTTTAGCAACTCATACATGAACTCAACTCAACTTCTATTCCATTTTTTTATTTTTCTTTTTTTCCCAGAAGCCTTTTATTTAAGGAAACAAATTTCATAAATACAACTTTAGGAATATAGTGATTCTTCTCACCCCACCCATACTCCCAGTTCTCTTCCTCCTCCCTCTTCTATTCCCATTGTTATATTTTACTAAGATCTATTTCCAATTAAATTTATGCACAAACAATTAACTCTATACTAAGTAAAGAGGTCAACAAGTACTATGAAAAAAAAAACCAAACCTGTCCCTCAATAGTTAAGACAAGGGCTGGTCAAAAATCATTGTATCTCAAAGTGTCAATTTCACTTTTATAGATTACCTTTTAGGGGCCCTTTTAGTTATCACAGATCAGGTAGAACATATGGTATTTGTCCTTTTTGGATTGGCTTATTTCACTAAGTATGATGT